ATTTTTAACTAATCTCTACACCCAACGTGGGGCTCGAACTTATAACCCCAAGATCAAGAGTCACATGATCTACTAAGTGAGCCAGGCACCCCCATCCCAGGTTTAAATATAGTAACACATGAACAAGGTCAGTTTGGTCCAACCACCTGGCAGCAACTGTTCTGTTCTCCTTTGATATTCAAGTCTGTTTGTGGGGATTCTGCCGCAGTCAGAGTCTTCCCCAATCTCAGCAGAGCCCGTGTTTTCTAGATGAACTTAGACACCTGTCTTTACAGTCCAGTAGCTTTTCTTTGGTTCTTTGGGGACATCCACTCCTTTATATTACCTTTAGTTGCATCTCAGAGTCCCTAGGGAATTTCTCCGTGGTCAGTGGCTTTCTCTGACTTTATTGGAATGGTTCTTATTGCTTTGCTCACTTATGACTGTGGCTCCCCTCCCCAAGAGTCAGGCTTGAACTCCAGAGGGCTGCTCATGGGAGTGACTTGTTCATCCATTCACAGGTATAAATTCAAGCACCTAGTATGTGGCCCTCTCCTGCCAACAGTTTCTTGTCTATGCCCCTCATTTCTCATTTATCCTCTCGGAAAAAATATGCTATGCATATATAAGGATATACATATATTGTTTTTACATACATGGTGGGATACTATATATGTTATTCTGCACATTACTTTTTTCTCTTAACCATGTATGCTGGAGATATTTCTGTAGCTATATCTTACAGTTACTTAATCCTCTACTGGATGGATGGATCATATTTTACTTATTTAGTCTCCTTCTGAAGGACATTTAGGTGGTTCTCTTTTTGCAGTGGTCTTCTAACCAGTGTCCTTTACACATCTTTAATCAGGATTTCACACAGCTATCAGATAGATGTCCTTCAACTTCCATCCTGATATTGTCATTTCCCCATTCAGAAATCGCTAGCAGCTGCCCAGCACCCACACAATAATGCTGAACTTCCTCTCCCTGAAAGTAGAGCCAGGCAACCACGTGGTCTCCATATACTTTTCCTCTTGTGTCCTCCTGTTCCTGTTACCCCCTAAACTGGTAAGTTTTCCAAACCGACCTTTGGTTTTATGCTCAGTATTTTCCTTCTGCCTGCAAGACCCTCCCCCTCAACGCTTTGAAGGGGAGAATCATACGCTCCCTTCCTTCTAGGCTTGTTACTTGGCCCTCTAACTCAAGTTCTCTTTGGGGCAGCTGCAGTTTCAAGATTTTTAACTCAGTCTCCCACCAGTACACCCTTCATAACCAGACCAGGTGTTCTGAATGTTGGCTTAGGTAACATATTTAATTGTTCATTGGTCAGTCTTTTGTTCTGTAGACTCCAAATTTGTTTTTGAGGTGTGGGGGAGGGTAGGAGGGGCCAAGGGAAGGGGAGAGAGAGAATCCTATGCAGGCTCCACGTCTAGTGTGTAGCCCCCAGTCGGGGGCTTGATCTCACAAGCCTGAGATCATCACCTCAGTTGGACATGCTCAACCGACTGAGCCACCCAGGAGCCCCTAGACCCCAGATTTCTTGTGGGCAGGGACTATTCACTGGGAACAGAGAATACTAAAAGGAAAAGATATATATATTGACTTCCAAGTAGGAACCACGTATACAAAATTAAAACACACACCTCCATAGACCTTTGTTTAAATGGAAATGTGCTCTGTGCTCAGCGGGATCATAAGAAAAACATGGGCTTAAAAAAAACCCCAAAAACCTCTGGTCCCCGCCCCAGGGTGTGGCCCATGGTAGATGCCCAATAAGTGCATGTTGAATAAAAAAAATAACATAAAAGAAAGCATTTAAGGCAAGCCTCAACATCTTGCCAGAAATCCATCTTTTATCCTAAACATACAAATAAGCCCACAGATAGGGTAGATGTCAATCAAATTTTGAGGCAAACGAAGCCAGTGTGGGAGAGTGTGGATTCAAGTTTCAGCGAGGGAGGAAGAGAAGTTGCACCTGGGGCAGGGTCTTGGGCCCCGGCGGGGAGAGGGGAAGGGGGAGGAGACTCTGGCGTCCCTGCTCCGCCTCCCCCACCCCACCCCCACCCCACCCCCGGCGGCGGCGGCGGCGGCGGCGGCGGCGCAGGGCAGCCGCGCGGGAGTCGGCAACAGCTGCAGCGGCCCGCGCCGCCCCCTCGGCCGCGGCCCCCGGGGCGAGCCCGAGCACGGTCGGCGGCTCGCGGCGCGGCGGCCGGGGGAGACGGGAAAGTTGCCGGCGCGAGCGCAGACATGCCGGGCAGCGACACGGCGCTCACCGTGGACCGGACCTACTCCGACCCGGGTCGGCACCACCGCTGCAAGAGCCGGGTGAGAGGCGCGGGCGGGGCGGCGGTGGGGGGGCCGCCGGGCCGAGGGGCGAGGCCGGGTGGGCTTTGGCGCCGGTGCTCGCCAGCTCTCGCTGCCCGCCTCTCGCCGCCTGCCTCGCTCCCTCCCCGGCTCCCTCCCGCCACGGGTCCGCGCCGAAGGGGCTGGGGAAGGGGTGGGGGCGTCGGGGGCAGAGCCGAGCCCAGCCCGCCGACCCCGCCCTCCGTCGCCGCTGGGTTCCCAGCGCGCCTGCCGGACCCGGGCGCCCGGGGTGCCCGACGGCCCCGCGCTCCGCCACCCACCGCCAGGGAGCGCCCGCCGCGCGGTGCCCGGACGCGAGGGGATCCCGCCAGCCGCGGCCCCGGTGGGACGGCGCGCCCGCCCTCCCGACCTCGCGTGCTGCCCGCGCCTCCGCGGCCCTCGGGGTTTCGGGCGCGGGCCGGCGGCGGCGGCGGCGGCGGCGGCGGCGGCGGACGGGCTTCCCGGTCTGGCGCGGCGGCCGCCCCGGCTCTGCCCGAGCGGAAAGTCAGCCTTCGCCGCGGCAGCCCCGGAGTTCCGAGCCGTGCCGAGCGGGCGTCCTCTCCATTGTTTGCAGTGTAATTTGCTGTTGCTGATTTTGGCTGTGGGCGAAAATAGCTCTTCAGAGCAAGCAGCAGAGACGAGCCTTGTAGTGCTTCAAAATAAAGACGGAGGCCGCAGCCTGGGCGCCGGTCCCTCCCGGCAGCGGAGGCCCCCGCCGGCTCGGGGGTCCCTTTGCCTTCCTGGGCCGTTCAGTCCCTCGGCGGATTGAAGTGCCGTTGAGAAACAGGACGTCCTCCACCCTGGCACTTGTTCTGGCAAAGCTACCTGGAGGTGCTCTTTGCTAACTACTCGCTTGTTCGAGATCTCAGTATTTGAGCGTCAGCCTCCCGGTGTAAAGTTCACAGCTAGAGTTTTGCGCAGATTCTGGCCTGCCATCCCCCAAGATCCAGAGACCACTGGATGGGAAAAGTGGCAAGAGCGACCAATGCAGCTCAGCCCCTAGTGCGGGATTTGGGAGTTTAGTCATAATTCGGAGAACTAATCAGTTATCCCAGAAGTGAAGTAACTAGTCCCTGTTATCTCTTTTTCCTTTAGTATCTGTTAACTGAATTAACAGAATGGTGTAAATTTTTACAGATTAAACTTATTTGGTGGAGGTTACTGCATCCACTCCACTCTCCTCTACTCCCCAGAAGAATTCTTTTTTGCACTTTATTTTTTTATTGACGTATACTTGACATACAATGTTATATTTAGTTTCAGGGGTGCAGAATAGTGATTCCACAAATATATACATTACAGAGTGCTCACCATGATAAGTTCTGCATTTTCTTTAAAAGTTTCGTAACAGTTTGTTATGAAAATAACCATAAACTGCCATTTGGAAGAAAATATGGGCGAAAGATCTTTGGTTACCTAAGTTAGAAATTATTGGAAGGATGACTGCTGGTTAACACAGAGTTAACGAGGAGGAAAGGTGAAGATCGTTTTCTAATGCATTTGTAATTGGAGGAGTCTATTAATGTTGCAGTTGACAGAAGAAATTTCAGACTTGAAAATGTGGAAGCTTGGTTTCTCTTGTCACAACTGTGATAATCTTTGTGTAAACAACAAGATTAGTAATCTTTGAAGGATGGGTGGCTCATTGTGAGCTCATTTAGGTGATTTGGCAAGACTCATGGAACTTTGCAAAACTCACTCTTCATAATCTGTGAAATGGTAGTGATAGAGTTCATACCTCAGCTACCTAGGTGGAAAGTGGCAAAGCAAACACGTAATTGAAACTGTAGATTTAGTTTGTCTCTGCTGGTTCTGCTAATGGTCCATTGCTACATATCCCTTTTCTACCACAACCTTACGTGAAGGGAGTTGCTTATTTTCTTTAAAGTTCTACCGATGATGTTACACGTACTACCTTGTATTATTAGCATGGAAATACCTGATTTTGGGGGTGGGGTAGGGCAGAGGGAGAGGGAGAGAGAGCATCTTAAGCAGACTTCATGTCCATCGTGGAGCCTGACCTGGGGCTGGGTCTCACGACCCTGAGATCATGACCTGAGCTGAAATCAAGAGTCGGATGCTTAACTGACTGAGCCACCTAGGTGCCCCGAGACACCTGATTTTTTAAATAGACTGTGTATTAAACCTGAGTTAGACATTGTATGTACTGATTATTCTAAATTAGCTTATTGGACAAATGAAATCTAGTGAGGACTAGACAAACTTAGACCAAGGAGGGCTAGAACTTTAGCAGACAGTGACTACATGTTTTGTAGCAATGATGCTGAGATCCCTGTTTAAACTTCTTGACTGTCTGCTTTTAGGATTTTACTGTTCAGATGGCAAGGAATAGAACTGGAGGAAATTTTGTAAACTTGGAACTTTTCTCAAGTGAGGCCGATGTAATTTTGAGTCTGTTCTTAAGGCTGCAGTAAGCCTGCTGTAATGAAGGGAAAATCACCAACAATTTTCCTGTGCAGAAAGTATTTCTCCCTTCAGATGATCCTAGCTCCTGTTTTGTGGAACTCTTAGATCTAGCTATAAAGACGTGCTTTCTCCTACACTCAGAGAATGTGATGCAGAAGGAGAACATCAGGCAGTATTAGGGTTTAATTTCTTGATGTGTTATTTGGTGGTTTATTGCCAAAGGGGGGTTTGTTGCCTCCCTTTGGCAATAAACCATCTAGTATAGGATTTTTTTTTAAAGATTTATTTATTTATTTGAGAGAGCGAGAATGAGAGAGAGAGAGAGAGTACACGAGAGGGGGGAGGGTTTTAGATTCGAGAAGCAGGCTCCTCGCCGAGCAGGGAGCCCGATGCGGGACTCGATCCTGGGACTCCAGGATCATGACCTGAGCCGATGGCAGTCGCTTAACCAACTGAGCCACCCAGGCGCCCCTCTAGTATAGGATTTTAAAAGAACACTTTTGTGGACTCGTGTGGTAAATTAGCTCACCTAAAAATACTCTAATGAGAACTGGAGGTGCTGTGCAGTTTCCTCCCAGGAAGGGGCTAAGACTCCAAATTCTTGCTTACTGAATGGTCATTTTTTAAGTTCAAAATTGATACCTGTTGAGATAACAGGAAAAATATACATCTCTCTTGCTGAGTTTGGTTAAGCCTTTGAGACTAGAATAATAATGAGGCAGTGTACTATTTTAACGTTGCAGGAGTCTATTTTTACAGCCAGGTGGATTAACCTAGATTCCCTCCCCTCAGTGAAAATGTAATATAACTAATGAATTCTGTGATTATCTCTAAGCTGACAAGTCAGGATCATTCATATTTTTAAACTTTGTCAGGGTAAAACTCAGAAATGGTGCATCCTAACTCGACACACAGAATAATATCCCCTACTTTAAAAGGAAGAGCATGCATAGTTCGAATCCTACTTTTTTTTTCATGCCCTAAATAGTTAAAGCCTGTCATCTTTTTAAGAATACAGGCAGTCCGCTTCCTATATATTAACTGGTTTTTATTAATTAGTGAATTAAATTTCTGTTCTAATTTTAAATGTTCTAAAATGGCACCTTCAGCCACCTGTGGATAATGGTCAGCAGCTGGGGCTCTCCAATCAGGTGACCTGGATCATATTCTGGCTCTTCACATTTCCCAGCCGAGTGAGCACTGGGGCAAGGTCTAACCTTCCTGAGCCTCCAGTTCCCTGTCTGTAACAGAGGTGATAATAGTCCCTGCTTCTGGGAGTGATCTCGAGAGAGCATTTGTTTAAAAAAAAAAAAAACCCCAAAACAAAAAGCGGTCCTGTGCACTCAAGGTTAGATGTTTTTATCCCTGTGTAAGGTGAATACTTTTTTTCTTATTCTATTGGTACCGCTGCTAATCAGAATCGCTAGTCATCCTGAGTGCTTCCCTCCTCCTCATCTCTCATCTGTCGGCCGTTCCGCTGGGTCTTTCTGGGACTTTTCTCGGGACTTGGTACCTTACTCCCCGTGTGCCCCAGTCATCTCCCACCTCAGTTTAGCCACGTCTGACCTCCGGAATTGGTAACGGCGCACTAGCTTCCTCGTTGCTCTCGGATTTCATCAGCCCCAATCGATCCTCCCCGCAAGGACCAGAGTATTCCACCCAGAGGACCACTTTCAATGCGCTAGCCCCCAGACGACAGATCTTGTACTAGTGCCCCCACGGACCCCGTAATCATTCGAAGTCTTAGTTTCCTCTTCTCCACTCCAGGGGTGTTAGAAGGACCAAATGCAGTAACATCTATAAAATAACACGTACCCAGAAAGAACTCAATAGATGGTAGCTGTTTTTGCTGCTACTATATAAGAAGTGGTCATAAGCTTGAAAATGGGCAGATTGCTAATTTTGTGACCAGAATAGACTTGCTTGGGCATTTTTAGCATTTTGTCCCTCTTCCATCATATGTTCCTTATCACATTGACTGTTTACATATTTGTCACTTACGTGTTTATAAACTGTGGACACTGGCACTTTGAGAACAAGAGGTTTCATTCATGCAACAAATACTTGCTGAGCACCTTCTGTATGCTCGCGACCACTGTAGGCATCAGGAATATAACAGTGAATGGAACAGACAGCCTGGTCTCTCTGGAGGCTTAATATCTGGTGATTGTATTTTATTTATACTTGTGGCCCCAGGAAATACCCTCCTATTTTATAGGAGGAAATGGTAATAAGTACAGAGGTCTCTAACATCTGGGCATGGTGGCTACCTGTAGTTCCTCGTTAAGTGTTCTGTGGTTTGGAAATAGACTTTGAATTACATGATGAGTAATGGCCAAAAGCAGTCAGGGAGAAGAGGATGTCATAGCCCTTCTCAGAGTGGAAATGGTTGGGCAGTGATGTAATAAGTTGACGATCGCCTGCTCACTTCCTGGGCAGGCACAAGAGTGAGCGGGCACAGACCTCTGTCCCGGGGGCCCCTGACCTGGTGGAGCAGTGAGTGGAGGGCTGTGTGAGTACACTTTGAATCAGTGATCTGTTTTATTCTAAAGAGTTCTTTAAAAGCACGGTGAATAATGATGAGTGTCTCAAGTCCGATTTTTGTTAAATTCCGGTTGGATAGATTGATGGGGTGTATTTTGAGCTGTGCTTTGCTACAGGCTCACGGGCTCTCCCTTCAGAGGAGAACAAACTGCCCCCCGCCGCCAGCACACGCGCCTGTCACATCCGCTCTTGAATACCAGGACAGCTGCTACCAAGTTGGACTGTAAGACCCACGGCCTGAATTTCCAGGGCTGCTCTTAAGGTCAGAAATCATCCTGATCTTTCTGGATGGAAATTGCCCATGTCTTGACTTAGGACAGGCTGCAGCTTTCAGCCCTGCTGTTTCTTTTTTGTGTTTTTATGTTTTCAGTGGGGGGGGGGGGGCTGCTGGTTGAGAGAGAAGGGAGAGAACCATGAATCACTGTACTGTGAATCAGAACGAGGACTTTACATGCCTTAGAAAAGGAACATCAGGATATATGATCCATGCATGATCCAACTGCTTCCATTGGGGGGAGGGGGTTGCTGCTTGAAGGAAAACAGTGTATTTAATGATTATTCCTCTGTAAGGAGGCAGACAGAACATAGATGAAAAGAAGAATGCAGTAACAGTGTTAACAGCTAACCTGTGCTAATTCCTTACTATAACCCAGGTGCAATGCTAAGCGCTTCAGATGCACTATCTCCTTAATCCTCATAATATCCTATTATAGCTTGATTTTTACAGATGAGGGAGTTGAGGCCCGGGCAGTTTATTTGTCCAAGGTCTTGTGGCTGTTAGGAAATGGTCGAGCTAGGATCTGGTGAGCCTAGATCTAATTGCAGACCTTGCATTTTACCCACTTTGCTGGCTTCTGCCTCTGAGATGAATACTGGAGAGCAGCTCAGTCTTCGTAAACCTGTCGAGGCCTTGAACACGGGTGTGGTCAGCTTCTGCAGGGTGCCTAGCCAAATGGTGTGTTCGGGAGTCTTAGAAACACAGCGCTTTGCCGGTCCTTTGTGTATCGTCTTCTGTACCCAATGAACTTTTGATGAAGAATGGTTTAGAGTGATAATTTATGAACTTTTTACAGTGCCTGTGATACAAGATTGTTGCCAGTAGTTTGGAGAAGTCTTAAAGGCTGTTAAATAAGCTCATGATTAAAGAACATCAGTGAAGAACCATCTTCCAGCCTGGTATTTGGTCTCTAGAGCATGAACAGTTGAAGAACACAACAAGGCTGGTTCTTCCTGTGACAGTCCGAGTCACAGTCTGCCTCAGCAGATCACCTGGTAGGACTTCAGCTTCCCTGGACCGAGGGCCTGTGCTTCTCAATGTGTAGGGCACAGTCCTGGAAAGTAGACTCAAAGGTTTGAACCATGTTAGAACTGAAAGGGGAATGTAGACATAAACTCCAGAACATTCCATTTGTAGAAGTAGAAAAGTGACAATTAGGCAGACTGTAACCAGTGAAATGAGGTAATTAATACAGGTAACTAATGAGGTAACTAATAATATATAACCATTATACCAGCTTCTATCTTTTTTTTTTTAAAGATTTTATTTATTTATTTGAGAGAGAGAGAATGAGAGAGAGCACAGGAGAGAGAGGGGAGGGTCAGAGGGAGAAGCAGACTCCCTGCCGAGCAGGGAGCCCGATGCGGGACTCGATCCCGGGACTCCAGGATCATGACCTGAGCCGAAGGCAGTCGCTTAACCAACTGAGCCACCCAGGCGCCCTCTATCTTTTTTTTAAAAAGACTTTATTTATTTGAGAGAGAGAGAGAATGAGAGACAGAGAGCACGAGAGGGAAGAGGGTCAGAGGGAGAAGCAGACTCCCCGCTGAGCAGGGAGCCCGATGTGGGACTCGATCCCGGGACTCCAGGATCATGACCTGAGCCGAAGGCAGTCGCCCAACCAACTGAGCCACCCAGGCGCCCACCAGCTTCTAAAATGAGAATTCCTTAACAGAAAACGGTTTTAAATATTTTTAGATACCAAGCTAATTGCTAAGTTATATAGGATACATATCTCAAAATTTAAGTAGAATGAGAATTTGAAATTATTTGCTGTAGAGAATTAATTGATGGACAGATTTTACATTTTATGAGTTTTCTAGGTGGAGAAAAAGTGAATTTGAGTGATTCAGTGTTACATCATCATCCTTATTAATTTGTTTGCAGATTTTTGGTGGGACTAGGGTGAAGAGGGTGTGACATTTCCTGTATTAGACTGCTTAGCTGCAGGAGATCTGTTGCCACTACTAAAGATGATCTTTTCTTTTTTTATTGTTGTTTTTTTTCCCCGAAATAAAGTTTTGCAAAATGAGTTCGTCTCTGTCTTTACCTTCTACATGTTGGGATAGGATATTGGGGAAAAAACATGAGCCAGATGCATCAGTCATGGAGTACGTTACACACACACACACACACACACACACACATTATAACTTAGAATTCAAACCTGGTGTTTGTTGCCCCCAAAGCTTTCTGTTCCTGTGAGACTCTCATTGAGGGCATCTTCCAGCACCAAGTGTTTTTAGCATATGTAATTTTCATGCAACACCCCAGAAACATCATCTGGTTCTTCGCCACAGAAACAATCATCTGCCCCAGCGCTGGGGTGAAGACAGGGATAGGATCCATTGGCACGTCAGTGCCAGTCCCCAGTGACGTGCCTCCCTGAAGGAAACTTCCACAGCCAGGGAGTAAGGTGTGGCTTTAGCACATAATAAAAGGCATTTCTACTTAGATGTTCCGCAGGCACCTCAAAGTCTACATGCCAGACTTCATTCGTTCTCTCAGATCCCCCCACCCCCCTGCCTGGAGCCTGGAATACTTTCCCTGTCCAGCATATTCCCAAATCGGAGGTCCGGGAAGCTCCCTCAGCGCCCCCCATCCCTTACCCACCACATCCGGTGGTTTACCTCTTACCGTTCCTCCACCACCTTTGCCTCTCTATCCCCAGCCTCACTTTCTTAGTTTACTTCTGGATTTGAAGACGACGAAGGGTTCAGAGTATGGACTCTGGAGTCAGACTTGATTGTCCGCTCCTCCACTTAGCAGCCCTGGGAACAAGTGTGAGAAGTGGTGTGAGGAACCCCATTGCAGCAGCTGTTGTTCTGACATTGAGTCACTTGTGTCCGCCACAGAATTCCCCAAACTTCAGTCATTCCCACACCTACACATAGCTTCTTACCACCTGTATGGTGATTTACTTAATATTTCCAAAGCCATTCACTCCTTCAAAATTAAATTTATTTTTAAGGTATCAATGTTCCCATGTAGTTAATATTGCCTGTGCCCCCTGAGGGCTTGCAGTGCGAGATTACAAGGATGAGCCTCTGTTGGACCATCAGCAGCGAGCTGCTAGCCCTGAACAGAGACTTTTCTTCCCGCCCAGTCACCTGGATGGTCTTGCGGGTGGTTTTCAAGGGAATCACTGGCTCACTGTGATTCTCTGTTACTGCTTTCGTTTTATGCCACTGAAAATAATTCAGAATCATTTTGGAAAACACTGGGTGTTTGTATTGTATCATCTCTCCTCATCCTTTTAGAAATACTTCTTTTAGAACCACGACTTAGAAGATGCTTGGAAGTATTTTTTTCATGGATTGTGAAAATTTGAGTGTGTGGAGATGAACAGAAGCTCCACTCTGGTGATCTGAAGGCAGCCTGTCCAGGTGGGAATATGTGGAAGAGGTTGGGAAAAGGGGGACTTGTTCTTGGCCAGATCTCCCATCTTCTCATGACCTGAGAGAAACTGAGGCCATGGAAGGCCTTGGGCGAAAGAGTGCAATGTCAGGAATTATAAGGACTCTGGGAATTTCAGGCAAGGACAAAGTGGGTGGAAAAGAAATTTCAGCTCTGTGTTGTTCTGAAGTAAACTTGAATTTAATTAAGATGAGTATGTAGGCTTGTTGTAAGGAAATTAAATGGTGCCTTGAGCTGCAGCCTTCCACAGAAATTTTGAGATAAGTTCTTGTCCAAAAATAAAGTATGCCCTTAGTGAAAGCTACGCTTTAGCACTTCAACATATTTACTTCAGTGTGTGCATCTGTGTGTTGGGGCCAGTAGTCCCTTTTTCCCATCTTTGTGAAGATACTGTGATAATCCAGAAGGTGTGGAACTCAATTTCAGATAGTCAGTGGTACTATTTTAATCTCACTAATTGGAACAGGTGGCCTGTATTTGAGACCGAATCTCTCGTTGGCATAGATTTTAATTTATCTGGAAATCTGAGGCCCATTCAGTAAGGCTGTGTATTGGCATCAGGCAAGTGCTTGAAAGCTTCAACCATTAAAAGCACAGAAGGCTGAAAGGAAGATCGAAGAAATGGAGCTTAATAGTTTGCTGCTTCGATTCCATTCTTAACTGTTGGGTGTAGAGCTAGTCGGGAACATGGCGGAGTGAAGCATGTCCAGATGCTTGAGAAGGCTGCTGATAAGTATTTCTCCAGATGAAGACAGTGTCTGAAGTATCTCCTTTGAATCCATCCCACAAAATGGCAGGGTTGAAGAGGACTTGATGCAGTCCTCATGTTTTTATAAGAACTAGCACGTCTTCAGGCATGAGCTGAAGGGGTGTGCTAGAGTGAGTCAGCTTACCACAAGCACTCAAGTTGAGATACTTCGAAATACCGCTAATGAAATCAGAGATGGTCTCCAGATTATGAACTTCTTCAACTGCACCACTCCTTTTTTTTTTTTTTAACAGTAAATGTGTGCTTTGCAGGATGTCTTGTGAATATCTTGCTTTAAATCCTTCATCCTTCCAAAGGACAGAATCCCAGTTTCTTCCCCTGACACCCAGAGTCTCTCATCTGACCTTTGTCTTTCACCCATTCTCAGCCCTCAAACTCTGGCTTCCTTCTTTGTGGTTTCCCCTGGCTCCCCTCTATGCCTGTGGGCACCTGCTCCATTCTTTCACATGGGAGGGGATGATTGTGTTCATTTATCTACACGTGGATCCTGGTACATGGTTGGGGC